ATGATGAGAAAAACAGAATACATGATAAAAGTACTGGGAGGATGGAATGGGAGGAGTGGCAAGGGCTGTTAGCCACAATGATCTAAGGCAGCAAAGAGAACATCAGAACTCAGATCCGAATGTTAGGAAGAAAGCAGCTATTGGAAAATCTATAGTGGAGAGTTCTAAGAAGAGGAACATTGAATGTCATGAAGACATTGTAAAATTTAAAAAAAAAATAGAAACAAATTTTATTTTATTTTATTTTATTTTATTTTATTTTTTTTGAGACGGAGTCTCGCTCTGCCGCCCAGGCTGGAGTGCAGTGGCCGGATCTCAGCTCACTGCAAGCTCCGCCTCCCGGGTTCACACCATTCTCCTGCCTCAGCCTCCTGAGTAGTTGGGACTACAGGCGCCCGCCACCGCGCCCGGCTAGTTTTTTGTATTTTTTAGTAGAGACGGGGTTTCACCGTGTTAGCCAGGATGGTCTCGATCTCCTGACCTCGTGATCCGCCCGTCTCGGCCTCCCAAAGTGCTGGGATTACAGGCTTGAGCCACCGCGCCCGGCCAGAAACAAATTTTAAAGAGGAACAGCATGTGCAAAGACCTTGAGTCAAGAAACAGCTTGGTGTGTCCAAGGGACATACCAAGAAAAACAAAAGAAAAAGAAAGTCCCTGAAGCTAGAGAGTGGGGAGGGAGATGAGGTCAAAGCAGCAGGCAGAATGCTAGATCAGAGGTGGGCGTGGTGGCTCACGCCTGTAATCCCAGCACTTTGGGAGGCTGAGACAGGTGGATCACTTGAGGTCAAGAGTTCAAGACCAGACTGGCTAACATGGCGAAACCCTGTTTCTACTAAAAATACAAAAATCAGCCAGGTGTGGTGGCAGGCACCTGTAATCCCAGCTACTCAGGAGGCTGAGACCGAAGAATCGCTTGAATCCGGGAGATTGGAGGTTGCAGTGAGCTGAGATCACACCACCGAACTCCAGCCTGGGCGACAGAGCGAGACTCTGTCTCAAAAAACAAACAAACAAACAACAAAAAAAGCAAACACTAGATCAGGTGAAAGCCTGCAGACCATGGGTAGGAGTTTGGGTTTCAATTTATTTGCAGTGGGAAGGCACTGGGGAATTGTAGGCAGGGAGTGGGTATCATTTGATTTACAATTGGAAAAGTCTGTCTGACTGCCACGTGGAGAACAGATTGCAGAAGAATCAGAGTAGAGGTGAGAGATCAATTAGGAGGTGGTTGCAGTAGTCCAGGAGATGATTTTGAAAAGTGGTCATGTTCTGGGTAAATTTTGGAGGAAAAGGTAGCAGGATTAAATAGACTGTGGAGTATTAAGGAGAAAGAAGGCTGGGTGTGGTGTCTCACACCTATAATTCCAGCACTTTGGGGGCCAAGGCAGGAGGATCACTTGAGGCCAGGAGTTCAAGACAAGCCTGGCCAACACAGCGAAACCCTGTCTCTATATAAAAATCAAGAGTAAAAGAAAAAAAAAGGAGAGAGGCACCAGGTATAACTCCTTGATTTTTTTTTTTCTCTAACTGGGTGAATGGTGATGCTATATACTAGGGTAGAAAAAACTTGGGGAGGAAATTATTTGGGAGGTAGGAGGAATCTGTAGTTTTATTTTGGTTCTGTTAAAGTTGAGATACCTTATCATCCAATTGGAGATATTGAATAGTTAGGTAATCTGGAGCTCAGGATAGGGATCAAGATAAGAATCGGGGCTAGAGATAAGATTTGGGAGTTACCTGATACATACATACACACATTCATGTATGTGCGTGTGTGCGTGTGTGTGTATATTACTTAGAGCCATGGGACTGGGATAAAATCACCCAGGGAAAGTATGTAGGAAGAGAAGAGAGCCCTATGACACTCCTACATATATAGGTTGGGAAGAGAACGAGCCAAGTAAGGAAACTGAGAGGGAGCAATCAGCATGGCAAGAGAGATGCCAGAGCAGAAAGTCTCTCTTTTTTTTTTTTTTTTTTTTTTTTTTTTTGAGACGGAGTCTTGCTCTGTCACCCAGGCTGGAGTGCAAGTGGTGCAATCTTGGCTCACTGCAACCTCCGCTTCCCAGGTTTAAGCGATTCTCCTACCTCAGCTTCCCGAGTAGGTGGGACTACAGGCGTGCACCACTGCACCCAGCTAAGTTTTGTATTTTTTTAGAGATGGGGTTTCACCATGTTGGACAGGCTCGTCTCAAACTCCTGACCTCATGATCTGCCCGCCTCGGCCTCCCAAAGTGCTGGGATTACCGGCGTGAGCCACCACACCCGGCTGTGCCCCCAGGAAGTCTTTAAAGGAGGTGGTAGCGGTCAACTGAGTCAAAGTTGCAGAAAGGTTAAGTAAGATGAGGAGGGAGAATGTGAAATGAAGTGGGGCTAATTAACGAAGACAACACTTTAAAGGGGCTTTGCTGTGTGTGGTTGTAGAGAAATGGCACAGAACTGGAAGAGAACGCGAATTCAGGGAGGTATTTTGCTTTTTGCCTTCTTCCCATTGGGAGATAATAAACTTCCTTTTCCTAGTGATGAGAATCGTCCAGTAGAAAGGGAGAAGTGGATCATGCAGAAGAGGAAGAGGATAACTGCAGGAGTGGAGAACTTGGGAAGGCGAGAGGGAGTAGGAGTCTGAGCCTAAGAGTCAGTGGAACCAACAAGAGGGAAGGAGAGAATGTAGGAGAGATGTAAGGAAATAGGGTACACGGTGGGGGTGGGGAGGTGAGTGCTCAGTATCTAAAAAGATACTGATGCTGGTCTTTAGGGTGAATGCGAAGTCATAGCTCCCAGTGATGAAGCACACACAGGTCACATGTAAGTCCTGCGTGTTCCTCTGACAATGGGGAGTAGGTGGCTAGGACGCAACAGTAACATCACAGAGGGAGCTTAGCTCAAGGGTAGAAAACTGGGGAGACCTTTGTTTGCTGTGCCTGGTCTCACCGTCTGTTCATTACTCCTAGAGTGACTGGTCCTTATCACCCCAGCTCCTTTTTTTTTTCTCTCTCTCTGTCTCCTGCCTTTTCCAGAAGTCTGTCAAACTCAGAGGGCTGAATGAGAGCAGTCTTCCCTCTGTGGCTGGGAAACTACACAGGAGGTACCAAAGGGGAACAGAGCTTATGCCTGTGGTGGTGAAACCCTTTAACTGCAATTAGAGCCTTACTCCCTGCCTAAAGTCTTTTTTTTTTTTTTTGAGAGAGAGAGAGAGAGACAGAGAGGGTCTCACTGTTCCCTAGGCTGGATGGAGTGTGCAGTGGCACGATCTCAGCTCACTGCAGCCTCGACATACTGGGTTAAGGCGATCCTCCCACCTCAGCCTCCCGAGTAGCTGGGACTTTAGGCACATACCACTACACCTGGCTAATTTAACTTTTTGTAGAGATGGGGGTCTCACTATGTTGCCCAGGCTGGTCTCGAACTCCTGGCCTCAAGTGATCCTCCTGCTTTGGCCTCCCGAAATGCTGGGATTATAGGCCTGAGTGCCCACACATTTTCACTGGGTGATTTTTATCCCAATCCCACCTCACCTGGCCCTAAAGCCCCACCTCCTTTCTTTTTTTTCCCCTGAGGTGGAGTCTTGCTCTGTTGCCCAGGCCGGAGTACAGTGGCATAATCTCGGCTCACTGCAACATCCGCCTCCCAGGTTCAAGAGATTCTCCTGCCTCAGCCTCTTGAATAGCTGCGATTTTACAGGCACTTGCCACCACGCCTGGCTAATTCTTGTATTTTTAGTAGAGAAGGGGTTTCGCCATGTTGGCCAGGCTGGTCTCAAACTCCTAACCTCAGGTGATCCACCCGCCTCGGCCTCCCAGAGTGCTGGGATTACAGGCGTAAGCCACCATGCCCAGCCCCTAGAGCCTTTTTATTCAGTGTATGTGCATATATATATATATATGACTAAAAGTCTTTCCTTAAGGAAGTCAAGTAAGAAATGTTTAATCTGTAAAGCCTTACTACTATAAGATTTTTTTTTCCTCATCCCTGTGATTACCTGGAGATATAAGTATTATTGTTATCATTATTTTTTTTTTCCTTAAACAGAGTTGGAGCTCTCCCTGTGTTGCCCAGGCTGGTCTCGGAACTCCTGGGCTCAAGCGATCCTCCTGCCTCTGCCTCCCAAAGAGTTGGTATTCCAGACGTGAGCCACTGTGCCCAGCCTACTTTTATAACTCATCAAAAAGTGAAGTGGCTAAGGGAGAGAAGCATGTTAACCTCTACCAAAATACTAAATTGGAAGGCATCCCTGGAATGGGGGAGATTAGAGAATAGTATGGCCTCAGGAGCACAGAAATCACTGACTACAGCTTTTCTTTTGTGTACTGATCACACAGGGAAAGAATCAAGAAGGGGTGAGAAGGCATATTAAAGCCTTTCCTCTGATCATCTTGAAGCAATCAGAGAAACACATCTCGCCAGAGAAAAAACACTCACAGAGGAAGAGGGCAGCATACAAGCGCTTCTGAGGCTGAGCCAGCCTGAATTCCAATAACCCAACACGCAGGAAAGGATTTTTTTTTTTTTTTACTCTAAGTTAACACAATCACATTCTAATCAAGGTCTGTGAATAAGATTAAAGATTGGAATAAACTAAGGATACTCTTTAGGGAAAAAAAAAACTGACAAAGACACCAATTTGGCATAACACTTGGCAACACTTCAGGTTTAATTGTTTTAATAGTTCGATTTTTGTTTTAAAAAGTGTGGGAGGCAGGGTGTGGTGGCTCACGCTGGTAATCCCAGCACTTTCAGAGGCTGATACAGGAAAATCACGTGGCCCCAGGAGTTCAAGATGACCCTGGGCAACACAGAGAGAGTCTATCCTAAAAAAAAAATAATTTTTTTTTTAATTAGCTGGGTGTGGTGGTGTGCATCTGTCATCCCTGCTACTTGGGAGGCTGAGGTGGGAAGATCGTTTGAGCCTGAGAGGTCAAGGCTGCAGTGAGCCATGATCACACCACTGCACTCCAATCTGAGCAACAGAGCAAGGCCTTGTCTCAAAAAATAAAATAAAAAAGCAGGGGTAAGGAGGGTACAATGGCCATCTGTTTACTCAGATAAATTGACTGTTATCACTAAAGCCTCAGCCAACCTTCATCATTTTGAGTAGGGGAGACTTTGGGGAAGTTGAATCTCCAAGCATATGAAGTGAACGCAACAAATATTATCACGAGACAAGTGACCTTCCTTCTTCAGGCAGGGAATAAGGCTCTATTGTATCAGGTTCCTAGATCAGATAAAAGGGTGTGCTTGGATGGCGGGCACACGCCTATAATGCCAGCACTTTGGGAGGCTGAGGCGGGCAGATCACTTGAGGTCAGGAGTTCGAGACCAGCCTGGCCAACATGGTAAAACCCCGTCTACTACTACAAAAATTAGCCAGGCACAGTGGCACGTGCCTGTAATCCCAACTACTTGGGAGGCTGAGGCAGGAGAATCGCTTCAACCCAGGAGGTAGAGGTCATAGTGAGTTTAGATCTTGGAAATAAGTTAACGATGAGGAAAGGTAGAATATGGGGGCAGACACAGGGTGGTTAATACAAGTGGGGAAGCCTTCAAGAGGGCAGAAGGGAAGTTCTAGGCATGGACTGGAGGGAGAGAGTCCTCCAGCTGTACACGTTGACTTCTTGCTGTAGGAACCGTATCCTGACACAGACGCGATGCGGTGTTCCATTAGGAAATGCTTCATACAGTCAGTGGGCATCGTATTCCTGTGGCTCTTCATCACTTTGAAAATCCCCAAGGAAACTGAAGATGACCAAAATGTGATGACTATCAAAGGCCAAGTAGCAAGGCTTGAGCCTTATCAGTTTGGGAACTGGGAATATCGGGTGGAAATGGTGTGGACAGGCAGATTCTTGAAAACCCCTGGGCTTTCTTCCTTCCTGTACCTTTTCACCTGAGAGCAGGAAGCTCCAAAGGGAATGGGGGTATGGACCTGGGCCTATTAGTCCATGAAGAAGCTGTATTTATTTTCCTTATTCATTAAGGTAAAGAAGAGAGTAAATACTGCTTGAGCCCTGGATATTTTAGCCAATGGACAGGTATCCTGAGAATGTGCCGGGCTCACTTTAGGGAGAATGGTTCACTCCACCTCTTTCCCTAGAAAAGCTGATGGGGAGCCACTGGGGTGTAAACTTTGTTCTTTTTATGAAAGGATATATATGTTTACCCTTGTCAATGCCCCAGGAGGCCAGTTATAACAGCAGGAAGGACCCAAGACCACTCGAAGACTGGCAGAACCTCACCTTCAAATATATGGAAAAAATCCAGAAGAGAAGAAAGAGTGAGTACCAACAAGAGGGAGGAATTCAGTATCCCAGAGGAAGTAGGGACAGCTAGCCAGAGATCAGGCAGATAGGAAGGAAAGTAGAAGAGGGAAGGAGAAAGACAGACTGTGCCCAGGAATATTAGAATTTGGCAGACAATGACCAGGTGTGGTGGCTCATGCCTGTAATCCCAGCACTTTGGGAGCCCTAGGTGGGTGGATCACGAAGTCAGGGGTTCGAGACCAGCCTGGCCAAGATGGTGAAATCCCATCTCTACTAAAAATACAAAAATTAGTTGGGCACAGTGGGGGATACTTGTAATCCCAGCTACCCAGGAAGCTGAGGCAGGAGACTCACTTGAACCTGGGAGGTGGTGGTAAAAATGAGCGGACATTGCTCTGGGCGACAAAGCGAGACTCCATCTCAAAAAAAAAAAAAAAAAAAAAAGAATCTGGCAGTTAATTCTCTCCTCCTTCCCCCAAGGTAAATATTTATATATCAGCAGTATGAGGAGGAAGGAGGAAAAAGATAAAGTTGGCTACTACTTTTATTTTTGCCCTACTTGGCCAGTTACTAAAGTTAATTGCTATAAGAAGGTGGAATCACTAGATTAGAGAACATTTGGATTAGAGGGGGTCTTAGAGTCGCATAGTCCAACTGCCCCAGTTTATGGATCAGGAACTAGACTCAGGGCTGAAGGGACTTGCTCAAGATCACACAATCAGTAGCAGAACTGGGACAAAAACTCCGGGCTCCTGACTTCCAGGGGAAGTCCTTTTCCTAATATATCTTCTTCAAAGGACAGCTTTGGGAAGATGACAATAATTGACAACAATATAATAACATAATTGACAACAATGATAACTAAAATAATAGCTAATATTTATTGAGCCCCTAAACCATATGCCACAAAGTTCCAGGCTCAAAGAAGACTGAGCAGAACCCACAGAGACTCAGCATCACCTAGTTTAGTACTTCTCAAACTTTACTGTGCATACAAGTTACCTGGTGATGCTGTGAAAATGCCGCTTCTGATTAAATCTGAGGTAGGGATCAAGATTCTGTATTTGAAATGAGCTTATAGATGAGCCTGATGTTGCTGGACTAAGGACCACACTTTGAGCAACAAGGATGTAAACATCCCCTCTGCCAAAGGGAAAAACAGGTGGGAAATAAGAGGGAGGAAGGAAGAGTGAAGGTCCCCCAACCCCTAACCCTTCTGAGAATGGTCACTATTACTGTGCACTAACAGTCATCCCTATTTTTACCTCTCCTCAGCATGGCTGACAGTGGGGATATCGTCAGTGCAGCAAGGGGACAGAAGCAGCCTCTTGTACACATTGGTCTCCCTGTTCCGTGTTTCCTCTAAGGCTGAGCAGAAACACCTCACGGTGCTGGTCCACCTGGCAGATTCTGACCTCACCTGGCTCAGAGAAACTGTTGCCCATATTTCAAGCCTCTTCAGCCCGCAGATCTTGAAAGGGCAGTTGCTAATGATCCATGCTCCATCCGATGCCTACCCCACTGTTGACAGCGTCAGAGATGAAGCCTTTTGTGGCGAATTCTACTCCAAGCAGAACGTAGATCACGCCTTCCTCATGAGCTTTGCCACAAAGCTCTCTGATTACTTCCTGTTAATAGAGGACAATGCCTTTTTTGCCCCCAACTTTGTTACCCACATTCATTCAAGGGTGAACACCATGAAGTCCAACTCATGGGTGCTACTGGAGTTCTCCAATATGGGCTTCCTTGGCAAACTCTTTCACAGCAGGGACCTCCCGCTCCTGGCCCATTTCCTCCTCCTCTTCTACAAGGAGAAACCCCTTGACAGCCTGATTTCTCATTTCCGTATGCTCCTGGTCCAGGAAAGCCCAATCCTCTGCAAACCTTTCCTATTTTACCGCAGGGTCTCCTACACCACCTTTGATCACAAGCAGAAGGCCACAGCACTTCAGAAAAAGAATGCTGATGGTCCCAACAACCCACCTGGAGCTGTCTTCACTGATATGCAGGTTTCCGACGTGCATTTCCCCTGGGAGGCCTACACTCTGGATGAGTCATTCTTTTGGACACACAACCTTAGTACAGGAAACCACCTGACAGTGATTCTGAACCATCCAGCAAACCTGAGCAGAGTGCAAGTGATAACGGGCTCCATTGTGGATGGGAGGTATGCCCTGGAGAAGGGGCAGGTGGAGCTGGGCTACGAACCTGAGGGGGTGCCTCAGCACTGCACCAGCTTTGCCTTGCTGGGACATCTTTTAGAGGGGCAGATGGATCAGGAGATATATCTGAAAGGTATGGGGTACCACGTGAGCTGTGTGAGGCTGGTGGTGACAGCTGGTCAGGCTGGGGGGCTCATGATCAGGCATATCTACCTCTGGGAGAAAAATCACAAATAGCAGCAAGTGGATCAATGCTGAAGATAAATCAGTAGGGGGATGAAAAATTAAAATCTTAAAGCCATTTCATTCTAGTCTATATGAGTAACACAGGGGAGACACAAGGGAATGAAGGGCAGACAGAGAAGACTATCAGTCTTTTGGTGCTGCCAAGATGTCAGGAGACTTGTTGCTTCCTTTCTACCCAAACAACTCTCATAGGATATCTTTTGCTGAGGCACATATAGCTTATCTGCATTTGGGGAGAGTTTTGGTCACTCCCAAATTCTTTAGATACCTGGGATGCTGAGATCAGCCCAAATCAAGGTGTCTGTGTGTACATGTGTGTGCATGTATGCACTTCTGTGTTCAAACACAGGCAGAGGTGGGGATGAGGTATATGGTCATGGGAGGGCAGGCAGGAAAATCATGGCTGAATCCCTAGAATTGACATTATAAAAAGCCATAAAAGGGACTCTCATTAGAAGTCAAAATCTCTGAAGTGCAGGAAAGTAGCAGATAGACAAATAGCAATAAAACGAATCCCTTAACTCTATCCTTGAAGCTGTTTCACAGTGCCAATCTAGTTCCCTCCTTTCCTCACCAATAAACTTGGGCACAAATAGGTTGCAACTAGGCTGGGTATGGTGGCTCATGCCAGTAATTCCAGCCTCCCTTAGAGGCTGAGGTGGGAGGATCTCTTGAGGCCAACAGTTCAAGACCAACCTAGGCAACACGGCAAGACCCCGTCTCTACAAAAAATTAAAAAGTTAGCCAGGTTGTGGTGGCATGTGCCTGTGGTCCTAGCTACTCAGGAGGCTGAGGCAGGAGGGTCACTTGAGCCCAGGAGGTTGAGGCTGCAGTGAGCCATGATCATACCATTATACTCCAGCCTGGGCAACACAGTAAGACTCTGTCTCAAAAAAAAAAAAAAAAGTTTGTAACGAAAGCTTCACTCTCTCATCAGCAATTCACTCCTTAACTCTGGTTTCTGTGTCCACACTGGCCTCTGCATCCACAATGCTACTGAAACTCTTCCCTATTTGTCATGACGAGAATAGTCAAAACCCAGTGACTTTTTCAGATCTCATTCTCCCTAACTTTCTGCAGCAATACACAGTTCTAATTATGTCTTCCTTCTCAAAATTGTCCTCTTCCTTGACTTCTGGGATTCATCAGATATTTATTGAGTACCTACTACATGCCAGGCACAAAAAAATGCTCCTATCTGTGAAGAGGGTTTTTGTGGGAGTAAGATATACACAAGTGTGTTAAGCATCACATTGAGGTTAAGTACAGGGTCCTTGGGAGACAGAATTGCTGTTCCCAAAACATTCTTGGGGACTTAGGAAAGGTTTTTTGGAAGATATGACATCTAAGCCTAGACTCGCCAGATCATTAGAGAAAATATCCAAGTGATATGGGAAGAGAGGCAGGGAGACTTTCCAGTAGAAGAAACAGCATGCGGTGAAATGGGCCAGAGGTGATACAGAGTAAATCATTTAGTGAATCTGGAGATGGAGGACAAGGCTGGGTGAGGGTAACGCAGATGATGAAGACACAGGACAAAGAAAGGGCCAGCTTAAGAAGGTCAAAGGAGGTCAGGCACAGTAGCTCATGCCTGTAATCCCAGCACTTGGGAGGCTGAAGTAGGTGGATTACTTGAGTCCAGGAGTTTGAGACCAGCCCGGACAACATAGTGAAAACCCATCTCGGCCGGGCGCGGTGGCTCAAGCCTGTAATCCCAGCACTTTGGGAGGCCGAGACGGGCGGATCAGGAGGTCAGGAGATCGAGACCATCCTGGCTAACACGGTGAAACCCCGTCTCTACTAAAAAATACAAAAAACTAGCCGGGCGAGGTGGCGGGCGCCTGTAGTCCCAGCTACTCGGGAGGCTGAGGCAGGAGAATGGCGGGAACCCGGGAGGCGGAGCTTGCAGTGAGCTGAGCTGAGATCCGGCCACAGCACTCCAGCCTGGGCGACAGAGCGAGACTCTGTCTCAAAAAAAAAAAAAAAAGAAAAAAAAAAAGAAAACCCATCTCCACAAAAAAAAAAAAAAAAAAAAAAATTAGCCAGGCATGATGTCACATGCCTGTAATCCCAGCTACTCAGGAGGCTGAGGCAGGAGAATCACTTAAGTGTGGGAGGTAGAGGTTGCTGTGAACCAAGATTGTGCCACTGCACTCTAGCCTGGGTGATAGAGTGAGACCCTGTCTAAATAAATAAATAAATAAATAAATAAATAAATAAAAGGGCCATAGATAATCAAGTGGGGGAAAGAATTGTCTTTCCAACAAATGATGTTGGAACAACTGAATATCCACATGCAAAAGAATGAAGTTGGGCCGGGCCTGGTGGCTCACACCTGTAATCCCAGTAATTTGTGATGCCAAGGTAGAAGGATTGCCTGAGCCCAGGAGTTCGAGAGCAGCCTGGGCAACATGACAAGACCTAGTCTCGAAAAACAAGAAAAAGAAAAATTAAATTAAAAAAAAAAAGAATGAATTTGGATCCCTACCTCACATCATATAAAAAATTAACATAGACAGGCACAGTGGTTCACGCCTGTAATCCCAGCACTTTGGGAGGCTGAGGTGGGTGGATCACAAGGTCAAGAGATCGAGACCATCCTGGCCAACATGGTGAAGCCCCATCTCTATTAAAAATATTAAAAAATTAGCCAAGCATATTGGCGGGCACCCGTAGTCCCAGCTACTTGGGAGGCTGAGGCAGGAGGATAGCTTGAACCTGGGAGGTGGAGGTTGCAGTGAGCCGAGATCACGCCATTGCACTCCAGCCTGGGTGACAGAGTGAGACGCCATCTCAAAAAAAAAAAAAAAAAAAAAATTAACATAAAAAAGCATTGTAGATCCAAATGTAAGAGTTAAATAAAATTCTTAGATGAAAACAAAAATATCAATCGTGATCTAGGATTAGGCAAGTTTCTTAGATATGACACCAAAACACAAGCACTCAAAGAATAGATAGATTACACTTCAACAAATTAAATTTTTTTTGTGCTTCAAAGCATACTATTAAAGTGAAAAGACAACCCACAGAATAGAAACAAAATATTTGCAAATCATACATCTGATAAAAGACTGGTATCCAGAATACAGAAATAATTCTTTCTTTCTTTAGTTTTTTTGAGACGGAGTCTCGCTCTGTCGCCAGGCTGGAGTGCAGTGGTGCCATCTCTGCTCACTGCAACTTCCGCCTCCCAGTTTCAAGCGATTCTCCTGCCTCAGCCTCCCGAGTAGCTGGGATTATAGGAGTGTGCCAATATGCTCAGCTAATTTTTGTATTTTTAGTAGAAACCTGGTTTCACCATGTTGGCCAGGATGGTCTCGATCTCTTGACCTCATGATCCACCCACCTTGGCTTCCCAAAGTGCTGGGATTACAGGTATGAGCCACCTTGCTCCGCCACAAAAAGAATTCATACAACTCAATGATAAAAAGACAACTCACTTTAAAAATGGGCTAAGGGATTTCTCCAAAGACAACATACCAGTGGCCAATAAGCACATGAAAAGATTTCATCATCAGTCATTAGGGAAATGCAAATCAAAACCACAATGAAATACCACTTCACACCAGCCAGGATGGCTTTTTTTTTTTTTTTTTTTTAATGGAGATAGAGTCTTGCTCTGTCGCCCAGGCTGGAGTGCAATGGCATGATCTTGACTCACTGCAACCTCCGCCTCGCGGGTTCAAGCAATTCTTCTGTCTCAGCCTCCTGAGTAGCTGGGATTATAGGCACCCACCACCACGCCCAGCTAATTTTTTGGATTTTTAGTAGAGATGGGGTTTCACTATGTTGGCCAAGCTGATCTCAAACTCCTGACCTTGTGATTCTCCCGCCTTGGCCTCCCAAAGTACTGGGATTACAGGCATAAGCCACCATGCCCAGGCGGCTATAATTTTTTTTTTAAAGGAAAATAAATGTTGTCTAGGATATGGAGAAATTAGAACCCTCATACATGCTGCTGGGGTTGTAAAATGCTGCAACCACTTTGGAAAAGTGTTTAGCAGTTCTTCAAAATGTTAGAGTTGCCATATTATCAAGCATTTCCACTCCCAGGTACATACTCAAGAGAATGAAAACATACATTCACACAAAGGCTTATGCATGAATGTTCATAGCAGCATTATTATAAATAAAGCATGGTAACAGTCCACATATCCACCAACTGATGAATGGGTAAGGAAACTGTAGTACCTTCATACAGTGAAATATTATTCAGCAATAAAAAAGAATGAAGTACAGATACATACATGTATGAACCTTAAAAACACTCTGCTACATGAAATAAACCAGTCACAAAAGGCTACATATTGTGTGATTCATTTATAGGAAGTATCCAGAATACACAAATCCATAGAAACAGGAAGTAGATTGGTGGCCAGGGACTGGGGAAAGGGGAATGGGAAATGACTGCTAACAGGTATGGGGTTTCTTTTGGAATGATGATAATGTTCTGAAATTGACTGTGGTGATTGTTGCACTACTCTGTTAATATGCTAAAAACCATTAAATTGTGCACTTTGAAAAGAATGAATTTTGTGGTATGTGAATTACATCTCAAAAAAAGTTATTTAAAAAACAAACCAGCCAGGAACAGTGTCTCACGCTTGTAGTCTCAGCAACTCAGGAGGCTGAGGTGGGAGGATCACTGGAGCCCAGGAGTTCAAGGCTACAGCGAGCTACAATCACGCCACTACACTCCAGCCTGGGCAAGAGCGAAACACTGTCTCAAAAACAAAAACAAAAGGCTGTAGAAGCAAATGAAAGGGTTTAGGCTATCTTGATGGTAATAGGGAATCATCAAACAGTTTTCAGAAGGACAAAAAAATGATCTGAGTTGTGCTTTGGAAAGATCACTATGGGCATCATGTGAGGACTAGATGGAAAGAGGTCACAGTGGGCAAAA